AACGCATTATAACGCTTATTCTTCTCATTGACACGCCTAAACTTGTGATTCTTGATTCTCGGCCTCGACGCTTCGCAACGCATTACGCATTTTAGAACACTGATTATACTTGAATAATTCAAGAATCAACCCTTTAAACACCCAAGAAACGGAAAAGAAAATGTTTCATCACTTATTTTTAGTTTTAGCTTTTTGAATGATTAATTTTGGGTACATTGCATGGTGGGGTTTGTTGAAGAAGTGCTCATGGATTCTTGAAAAAGTAGCGAGCAAAATAAGTAAATATTTGAGCACTTTACAAATGAAAAATTAATCATATATAATTACATTTACACGTAAAGCTATAAATAATTCAACTTCTGCTTTTTAGAAAAAAACTTGGAAACTAAGTTTTAATTAAAATTTTAAACCTAACTTATCTTAAAGCATGCAAATTAATATGTTTTCTTTACGTTTTATAAGCACTCAATGATTTTTTTTTTTTGATAGTATGCATTTAATGATTTCGTTTGTTTGATCTCATTCTTTAAACTCATTTTTCTTCAAATTTATTTTCGATTACATATTCTTTCAATAAACTTATTTTATAGGTAAATTCAATATAAAGTTATTCGAAATAATTATGAGTCCCATACAATTATTATGGCTCTTATTTTATCTTTTTTTTTTTTTAAATATTCTCTTACACTAGAACTTTACGGAGACGTGATTAATTTTGTAACCATAATCTATTTTCGGAAGATTTGTTGGATGTTATAATTATGCTATTGACCTTTTCTTGGAGTAGTAGAACAAATTTTTTCTTTTTTCATTTTTCATTTTTTTGAGTAGAGAGAGAAAAAAAAAATAGATATATGACTTCAAAGTTGAACTATAATTGTTATTGGAAATATAGAAGAGGAGAAAAAAGAGATGCCTTAAACTTGTTCTATTTTTACTTCTTACTCCGAGCTTGTGCATGTACTATACGACAAAATTTTTGCTATAAATGGAATAGATCATACGAAAATACTAAAAGCTGTTTATTAAATCTTCTAACTGTTCGAGAGTTCTTTCTTCCACAAAAGCAAAATGATTATTTCTAGTTGAATTTGTTGAAAATTTGAAGAATGTTTGAATATGTATCTATAATAGGAAAAATTCAAGCGTTGAATGAAAGATGGTTTTTAATGTTATTTTTTTTATGTTTGTAATTGAAAATCTATCACTTATTTATAGATTTATAACATTATATCACGAAAATACTCCAAACACTTGTGAAAAGTTCCTAGTTAAGGCACAAAAAATTCAAATAAAAAATCATCCCAGTGACTAAACTTTTGAACCATGCGTAAGCATGGTATAAGCAAAAATACTTCAGTTTTCTGCAGACGAGGCCATGCGTAATGACCATACATACACGTGGTTAAGCAAAAACTACCAAATATTGCCTTCCAATTTCACCATTAATTCATTCATATTTCAACCCAAAAACGACCCAAATTTTGAACAACAAATAATTATATAACAATTACCCACATGTTCAAAAATTTCACATATTCACACCTGGGAACACTGATGCATAAGGATGAAATATCTAGATTTGAATATAACCACGGTTTAAATCTCACAAAGTATTATCGAAATTTCAAATAGCATGATAGCTTTGAACCAGTTTTTTCTTGTGACAATACCAATGAAATCACACACATGAGTGTTATTTTTGCACAAGTTCTTCAAACTCGCTTAGTGACCATATACTTATCATATTCGTTGAACTTTTAAGAAAT